GGCTGGGGAATTCTGGGAGTTGAAGTCCACACATCTTAAAGTTCCCAAGGTTGAGAAACATGAACTAGACTATCCTACAACTTGCTGTAAACCTGCTATCTGGAACTTCAGTCCATTTGATGGATCTTTGATCATATGGAGAACACAACAAGCCTTACTATTCATCAACAGCCAGGAAAACTAAATGCAATTACAGGAAATCCGAATAAAACGACAGATACAGATCCTTATCCCAAGACATCTTACCTTGCGCTCCTGCCCCAGAGGTGGCAACTGATTCCAGAAAAGTCCCCTTTCTTCCAGTATATTGTCATTTATTTCTATCTTTCCAGGACCCAGAAAGTTAAATAACAGTATCTCTTTTTTACTCACCAAATCAAATGCCATAGACACCATCAGACTTCTGTTGCCAATCTGCATTCTGTTTCTCCTCAAGAATGATCTCCCTTGATTAATAGGCCCTTCAGAGTTTTACTCATGTTATTAGGAAGTGTCATTTAAAAACAAAGAGAAAATTAGCAGTTAGTGACGTCCTTAGAGCTGGCATGAAGGTGTGAATTGAAGGTGTGAAAAAAACATCATCTGTGTGGTCCAGGGGACATAACTGACTTCCCAAAATTGCTGCATGAAATGTATTCAAGCGTGGAAAACTTCCCTTCTTTCTCATTTATGTCTTTTTGAGGTCCAAAAATTCTGTCACTGAGAAAAACAGGGGTATCAAACACTCAGATGTTAGTTAATCTGGTCAACAAAACCTGTAAATATTTATTTCGATTTACTTTCTCACTAAATCACTATCTGGTCAATATTATGATGTTGTCCAAGAGGATGAAGAAGCATTTCAGAGTCTTCAAAAAATCAATGCAGTGTTCCTATTTGTGTGTAAAACCTTTGGAGTTTAGTGATACTTGCATGCACTGTCTAGTTAACTCAGGCCCGGGAGTACAGCTGGGCCTCATCCTTAGTTGCACCTCCTTTTTTATCTTTAAAGCATTAAAAGTCTTGCCATGTCTTGGAAAACTAATCTCCAAATCCTTTCTAGCTGTTTGCTGACATTTTTCCAGCAGACCATTACAGCACAAACATTGACAGAACTTGACAAAACAAATACTTTAGGTAGGATAATAGCACTGACTCCTGAGAGGAAAAAGTGCAAACTCTATGCTTAAACAATATCTTTACTCAGGGCCAGTGAGTAAACTATCAAATGACTTATGGAAAATCCTGCTCCTTATTGGAATCCCAGGACTGGCTGTAAGCTTGAGTCCTACTAGTTTACACTCCCAAGCAGATGCTGCTGATCAAATAAGTTCAAAAGGGTTAGGGTGTTCCCAGTTGCATGGGAAGAGATATATGGCTCCTTGTTAAGCTCAGAGACTAAAAAGGGGATGATGAGGTCAGTAAAAAGTTGCTCTAGGGTTTTCAAACCTGTCACTCAGTTGAGGTGGTCTGATATTGTTATGGAATCCAGCCACCCAGAAATTTGCAAAAGGAAGAGTAAAAGCTAGCTCCAAGCTAGCAATTGAAAGCTGGAGGGATCCTTTGTCCTTCCTCAACAATTTGACACCTCTCCAGAGGATTCCTCTACCCCTATCTTTCAGAGCTATAGATTCTTGCTAAAATATGAGATTGCTCAGTATTGTCCTTCTGGTAGGCTGTAATTGAAACTTTTGGGAATTCTCAGCCAAGAGGACCTTTCTGGCTGGTGATTTTGGATGCTGCAATACCAATACAAGTATACTGGCCAACGTTGGGGAAAGTGGAGAGATACTAGTGAGTGACCAAAGAACCCTCCAGCCAACTACTGAGGCTTAATATTGGGATTGTGAGAAAATCTGTGTGTTCCAGTGATAGCTTAATTACTCTCAGCAAGCAATGCTAGCTCAAGAAAACTTAATATACCACTTTGAGGTTAACAAAAAAGACTGCATGCATTCCTGCTGAAAATGGAGAAGGAAGGGAGCTCCTGAAGTGTTTCTGAAGCTGTTCTTAAGCAAATAACTTCCATATTGTCCAAGTCTGTTCAGATGCCCTGCTTTTCCCAAGTCTATGAATTTTTGATTTCCAGAATGCTGGAGATCTGAGCAGTTTCTCCTGCCCTCTTTCAGCTTGCAGTGGCCTATTCATTGGAGGGTTTAGATTGGGACCATGTTAGCTTCTCTGCTGAATTGATCCCTTGACCCAGTTGTTGCTGTTACTAATCTGAAATGGAGAGTTGGTTCCTAGGATATGAGACTCCTGTTGCTGTTCAGATGTTGCTGTGGTCCTAGGAGCCTTTCACAGAAGCCATGCTAGATATGCTGGGGGATGATGCTCAAGAACATTTAGATAGCTACAATTCTCTGTGCTTGTGCTTGGGAGGTGTTCCCCATTGTTTTTCATCCTGCTGTACTTTTGGGAGCAATCTAGCTCTTCTTGGACTGAGTACTGGACTTTACTGATGGGTTGCTCCAGTCATTGAATCCCTGAGGTACTTTTAATAGCATATAAATATCCCAGTTAGGCATGAGGCTTCAACAAGCTAAAGGATGTATGCAAATAATTGTTCAGTATATTCCCAAAGCCATAATTTGATGGCTTGCTTCATTGGTCCACCTGTAGCTACTGTCTCAAATATTCTGAAGCTCCCAGTTGTAATGAGGAAGCTGGATAGCTTCCAGAAGTTCTCCCCATTAGTTTCAGAACCACACATGTGGGAGAAACCTTTCCTAGCTGATCACTGGACTCCAGAGAGTCTTGGTTTTTCCCTGACAATAGCGCTTTTTGCTGATATTGCTGAATGTCAGAGAAGCCTGGAAGCTGTGTGCATGTCTCCAAGCTAGAACTGAGCAATGCAGTGAGCAGGTCTTCCTCAAACCAGTATTGGATTCTAGAGGGGGTTCACTTGACTCCTTTGCTCTATGGATCTCATCTGCTTGCAGATGTCTCTGAATGGAGCATAGAGAATGCTTGCTTCTCTCCACCACTCAAAGGAGTACTGCATTGTGACGTTTCCTTCTGCTCAAGCTTCAGAAAGCCAGAAGATGTATTTTCTTCCTCAGTCATCTAGGCATACCACTCAGTTGGAGGCTAGATGTCACTCCATAACATTATAGATCCACCAGATGTTCTAATTGCTAGCTGATGCCAACTACAAAAATAGAAAGGAAGACTATTTAATGCTCCTAAATTCTTCTCCTTTAGTAGAAGAAATCTATTAAATACAGTATGTTAAAAATAACTAAACATCAGTACTAATCTTCTTCTGAGGAATTAACAATACTGCCAATTAAAGAGGAAATTTAATCTAGCATATGAACATCCAGAAGAAAAACTATCAACAAAGCTGACCAGTTATTCTGTTAATGATTACATTTGACTGTGGTAATCAAAAGGAATCAGTATTCCAGGTAAGGTGTTTCAGAAAAGTGTATTACAATCAATCAGATGTAATCATTGACAGATTGAAAGATGAGCCTATCCCCTTTCCCAGAAGGAGTCAGCAGGAAATCTAGTCTTGGGGCAAAGTGATAGGATACCATGAGACTGACATTCAGCATCCTTTAGCCAAGTAGCAGATCTGAGAAAATTATCTCTAAATTAACCCTGTTCCATCTCCATGCCTACTTGGGGTAACAATGTTTGACCTCAACTGATGGTAACTAGCATTAGTTGGGAAGCCTGAGAAACCAGAACTCAAATAGATTGCATTTTGTCCATTACCACCTCCTCTTTTCTCATAGTACAGGACTGATCTAAAGAGTTCCTGTTGTTCTAGTTCATCTGTGTGATGAACCAGCCTTGTTTCTACTCACTATGCTAAAGCCCACCGTTGACTGAAGCAACCAAGTCTCTTCTACTTTGGCCTTTTGAAAATAATCTCTGTTTTGTGGATCCATCAGACCTTCTTCCTAGAATTTTCTCAAAAGCTTTCTGTTGTTCCCCTACCCCATCCCAAAAGAAAGAAACTGTGATGGAATGGAATTATGAAGGCCAAGCCCAGGGAGATAAACATTTTCTTAGCTCGCCAGAACCACG